AATCAACCCATCAATGGTCGGCCCGTGTCGGGCCGGGGTCAGGCGGGGGTCACGCGGGGGTCACGCGGGGGTCAGGCGGGGGTCACGCGGAGGTCAGGCGGGGGTCAGGCGGTGCCGATGCCACGGCCGCTGTAGTCTCTCCGGGCCGCCTCGCTGGGTGTCGGCCGGGGTTGGATCTCCGCTTCACCGGTGACCCTCTCCGCTCTTCGTGGGTCATGGTCTCTTCGCTTTTTTTGGCGCCGTGGTTTTCCGCGCCGCCGCCGCTGCTGTGATTGATTTGGCTCGCAGAATGATTACAGGTGACATTGATTTCCACCGACGTCTCTCTCTCTGTGTTTGTGTGTGTGTGGATCTGGGCAAGGTCCCATCGGTGAGCTCCTCCGGCAGGCTAGGCTGCGTTGGCTGGGTCATGTAGCCCGCATGCCCAGCCACCGCATGCCGAAACAGCTTTTGTTCGGCCGGATCGAGGGGGCTAAGCGGGCGCGGCACGGGCTAGAGAAGAGATGGAGTGATGTGGTACAGGAGGACGTGGAGCTGAGTGGACTTGCCGATGACCGGTACCAGCGGTGTCAAGATCGGCCTCTGTGGAGGAGGCTCGTGAAGGACGCTACTGGGCAGTTGGAGGCAGTCGCCCTCCAACAACAACGGAGGGCGGAGGAGCGACGCTCACAACAACGAGCGGAGCGCCGGGTGACTAAGGCACAGCAGGTTGGCACAGTAGGGGGCACAGGTGGTGCATCAGCCAGTCATCTCAGTCAGTCGACCCGTGGCACCTGCTGGGTCTGCCCCGTGACCTCCTGCCCGCGGGCGTTCGACACTTCACGTGGCCTCAGGGTGCACATGGCCTGGCACAAGCGTCGTGGTGATGTCACCGCCACTTCGTGGCGAATGGCGGTTGTTGTGTGTGTGTGGGGAGCGGTGTGTGTGTGTGTATGTATGTGTGTATGTGTGTGCGGTGTGTGTGTGTGTGTGTGCATGTAGTGGGGAGCGGTGGTGCAGCGGTTAGCGCTACGCTGCACTGTGAACCCTGCGACCCGAGTTCGATTCCCGCTCACGGCCAACACCACCAGTGACGATCATCTGAACCGGTCCCGGGCCTCCCCTAGGTCCACTCAGCCTCAAATGAGTACCTGGTGCGGTGTGTAAACATCGCCACTGGGGGAGACAAAGGTGGCGTGGTACCGGCCACCCACCGCTTTGTGTGCCACTGCTCCGGTCTTCACAGGGTGCTGCTCGCTAACAGCTCTTGCCCCCTACAGTCTGTTAGAGGCGACACTGGCGGAGAGGGGTCACGTTGAAAGGGGAAAAGCGTGGATCCTTCTAAGCAACGGGGCGGTGAGAGAGGGCACAGCATCGGTATTATGGGCCTCCAGGAGCTACGTTGGCATGGTGCTGGTGAAACCACCGTGGTCGGTGGTCCTCCTGATGGCTCTCCCCGGCTTGCTTGGCCCGGCCGGTTGCCCTTGGGCCGCAAAGGCCAACGTGAGCCCTGTTGGAATGTCACCCTGTGAATGACCAGGCGACGCCGATGGCTCTCACCCCGGCTTGCTTGCGTAATGGTTTCCGGAGACACTTTGTAGAGGCAACTCCTTTATTGCAACGCACCACGCCAACACTCATACTGACTAAGGACACAGCCCACTTCTTGGCGTGCCTGACACCGGCTACGCTCTAAGGGTCCTCCGGCTACGCTTAACCTAGGGGAGGCTACCCCTGACCCGGCCCAGCCAAGGTGCGGGTCCAGACCACTGGCTTCCTCGGACGTTGCCCTTACAAGGGCGTCGGAACAGGAGTCCCGGAGTCTCACCACCGGCCCCCCTAGCCCCGCTGCCCTTACAAGGGCGTCGTACCGGGAGTCCCGGAGTCTCACCACCGGCCCCCCTAGCCCCGCTGCCCTTACAAGGGCGTCGGACCGGGAGTCCCGGAGTCTCACCACTGGCCCCCCTAGCCCCGCTGCCCTTACAAGGGCGTCGTACCGGGAGTCCCGGAGTCTCACCACCGGCCCCCCTAGCCCTGCTGCCCTTACAAGGGCGTCGGACTGGGAGTCCCGGAGTCCCACCACCGTCCCGCACAGCGACCCGCTGCCCTTACAAGGACAGCGGGGCTAGGGGGGTCTCAGGGTCCTAAGCTGGCTGCTCTTCTGGCTTCTATCTGCGACTGGCCCAGACCGGCTGGGACGGTGCCCTTTTATGCCCCTTGCTCATCGAGGGGTGGGGTTGCGTGGGGGGTCCCAGAACCCCCGCAGCCCCCCCCCCACCCCCCATTGGGGGTGCCGAGGGGCTTAGCTGTCTGGGGATCCTGAGCCCCCAGCAGCCCCTCCCCTCTCGGGCTGCCACTGCAGCCCTTCCCCCTGGCGGTACGAGGTACCGCCCGCAGGTGGGCCCCCGTCTACGGGCACCGCACTTGGGTAGCCGGTCGCCCTTAGGCCGTGAAAGCCAAGGTGAGCCCTGCGGGAAATGTCACCCTGCGAATGACCCCGGGCGACACCGACGTCTCAGCGGAGGCACGCCCAAGGCGGTGCGCCCATTCGCCGCGGCGCACACGAAGGCGCCCCCCCCCCCCCCGCCCACCTCTGCCAAGCCCCTGGGCCCGCCGGACCTCGCGAAAAGCGACGTGACCTCGTCTCGTGCAGTCGTCGCCGCCGCCTAGGCCCTTCTCGAGTACGCCTCCAAACTGCGATCGGCCCACGTGGGCAGCCGGAAACACCCCCCCAAACCCCACAAACCCCAACTCCGTAAGGCCCACGGGGCATTTTTATCGCCGGGAACTGGCGGCCTCCCCGGCTCCAGCGCCGTGGGCATCCGCAGACTTTAGCGGCTTCTCAAACGAGGGCCACGCAGAGGAAGGGAAATGGCCCGACGTGCTCGTCAACTCGCGACGGCGAGCTGGGCACGATCTCACGATGCAGATCATCGCCCAGCTATGGCAACCGCCGGCGTCGGAACGAATCCCCCGCGAGGTAATCGTTCCGACACCGGCCATCTCCGCCGGTGCAACATTAAAAAATTAATAATGATAAACTCAACTCTCGGCTCCGCCTCATCCAACGAAGAAGCCGATGGACGCGATGTCAGCAGCGCGGCCTCAGACCTGCATTGCAGCTCACCGAGGGAGCCCATCCATCGAGCAGCTACGCGAAGATTTGTCGAAACTTGACCCCCTTTACCCCGCTCCCCGTACGCACGTGTAGTAGTTTTTACACACACACACACCCCCACCAGCCGAATCCCACGCAGAAACCTTCAGAGGACGAATAATATTACCCCTCGATTCTTTCGGCAAGGTCACGCGGATAGAAAGTTAGCGCATCGCGACGTTCAGATCGCAACGCAAGCGACGGTTGACCTCGGGCCTGATCGAGGCCGGCTTCGGTCGCAAGGGCTGGCATGGACGCCCACGATCGAGGGGGCTCTTCTTCGACACCTGCCTGGCGGTGTTGGGGTCGGGGGGGGGGCTGGTGGGCTCCTAGGGGGCCACGGTGATGGAGATTGCGAGCTGAGGGGGGCTGGCTGGGTGGGTTGGTGGCAATACGGCCGGCAGCTGTTGTCGGTGGTGGCACTCACAAACACCAGCACTCACGACCAGCACTCACCACCAGCACTCACTCACCAGCACTCACCAGCACTCACTCACCACCAGCACTCACCACCACCACCCAACACCACCACCAACACCACTCACCACCACTCACCACCACCAACCACCACTCACCACCATTCACCACCATCACTCACCACCATCACTCACCACCATCACTCACCACCAGCACTCACCACCACCACTCACCACCACCAGCACCATCACTCACCACCAGCACTCACCACCAGCACTCACCACCACCGCTCACCACCACCACCACTCACCACCACCACTCACCACCAGCACCACCACGCCCTCTATGGACAGTGACAAAGATTCTGTCTTTAAATAACCTTTATTGTACAAAGAGAGACAAAACACGGACGTGGACCGACTGCTCACCACTTCACGTCTTCTCCACGCGAATGAGTAGAGGTCTATGTGTCTGTGTGGTGAGTCTATGTGTCTGTGTGTAGTGAGTCTATGTGTCTGTGTGGTGAGTCTGTGTGTCTCTGTGTGGTGAGTCTGTGTGTCTCTGTGTGGTGAGTCTGTGGGTCTCTGTGTGGTGAGTCTGTGTGGTGAGTCTGTGGTTCTCTGTGTGGTGAGTCTATGTGTCTGTGTGGTGAGTCTGTGGGTCTCTGTGTGGTGAGTCTATGTGTCTGTGTGGTGAATCTGTGGGTCTCTGTGTGGTGAGTCTGTGTCTCTGTGTGGTGAGTCTGTGGTTCTCTGTGTGGTGAGTCTATGTGTCTGTGTGGTGAGTCTGTGGGTCTCTGTGTGGTGAGTCTATGTGTCTGTGTGATGAGTCTGTGGGTCTCTGTGTGGTGAGTCTGTGGGTCTCTGTGTGGTGAGTCTGTGGGTCTCTGTGTGGTGAGTCTATGTGTCTGTGTGTTGTCTGTGGGTCTCTGTGTGGTGAGTCTATGTGTCTGTGTGATGAGTCTGTGGGTCTCTGTGTGCTGAGTCTATGGGTCTCTGTGTGGTGAGTCTATGTGTCTGTGTGGTGAGTCTATGGGTCTCTGTGTGGTGAGTCTATGGGTCTCTGTGTGATGAGTCTATGGGTCTCTGTGTGGTGAGTCTATGTGTCTGTGTGGTGAGTCTGTGGGTCTCTGTGTGGTGAGTCTGTGTGTCTGTGTGGTGAGTCTATGGGTCTGTGTGGTGAGTCTGTGTGTCTCTGTGTGGTGAGTCTATGGGTCTCTGTGTGGTGAGTCTATGTGTCTCTGTGTGGTGAGTCTATGTGTCTGTGTGGTGAGTCTATGGGTCTCTGTGTGGTGAGTCTATGTGTCTGTGTGGTGAGTCTGTGGGTCTCTGTGTGGTGAGTCTGTGGGTCTCTGTGTGGTGAGTCTGTGGGTCTCTGTGTGGTGAGTCTGTGGGTCTCTGTGTGGTGAGTCTATGTGTCTGTGTGTTGTCTGTGGGTCTCTGTGTGGTGAGTCTGTGTGTCTCTGTGTGGTGAGTCTGTGGGTCTCTGTGTGGTGAGTCTATGGGTCTCTGTGTGATGAGTCTATGGTTCTCTGTGTGGTGAGTCTGTGGGTCTCTGTGTGGTGAGTCTATGGGTCTCTGTGTGATGAGTCTATGGGTCTCTGTGTGATGAGTCTATGGTTCTCTGTGTGGTGAGTCTGTGGGTCTCTGTGTGGTGAGTCTATGGGTCTCTGTGTGGTGAGTCTATGTGTCTCTGTGTGGTGAGTCTGTGTGTCTCTGTGTGATGAGTATGTGGGTCTCTGTGTGATGAGTCTGTGGGTCTCTGTGTGGTGAGTCTATGGGTCTCTGTGTGATGAGTCTATGGGTCTCTGTGTGATGAGTCTATGGGTCTCTGTGTGATGAGTCTATGGGTCTCTGTGTGGTGAGTCTATGGGTCTGTGTGGTGAGTCTATGGGTCTCTGTGTGATGAGTCTATGGGACTCTGCGTGATGAGTCTATGGGTCTCTGTGTGGTGAGTCTATGGGTCTGTGTGGTGAGTCTATGGGTCTCTGTGTGGTGAGTCTGTGGTTCTCTGTGTGGTGAGTCTATGGGTCTCTGTGTGGTGAGTCTATGGGTCTCTGTGTGATGAGTCTATGGGTCTCTGTGTGATGAGTCTATGGGTCTCTGTGTGGTGAGTCTATGGGTCTGTGTGGTGAGTCTATGGGTCTCTGTGTGATGAGTCTGTGGGTCTCTGTGTGATGAGTCTACGGGTCTCTGTGTGGTGAGTCTATGGGTCTCTGTGTGTTGAGTCTGTGGGTCTCTGTGTGGTGAGTCTATGGGTCTCTGTGTGTTGAGTCTGTGGGTCTCTGTGTGGTGAGTCTACGGGTCTTTGTGTGGTGAGTCTATGGGTCTCTGTGTGGTGAGTCTATGGGTCTTTGGTGGTAAGTTTGGGTCTCTGTGTGATTGTGTGTGTGTATGAGTGAGTGTGTGGGTGTGTGAGTGAATGTGTGTGAGTGAATGTGTGTGTGAGTGAATGTGTGTGTGAGTGAATGTGTGTGTGTGAGTGAATGTGTGTGTATGAGTGTGTGTATGAGTGAGTGTGTGTATGAGTGAGTGTGTGTATGAGTGAGTGTGTGTGGGTGTGTATGAATGTGTGTATGAGTGTATGAGTGTGTGTGGGTGTGTATGAATGTGTATGAGTGTGTGTATGAATGTGTGTGTGTGAGTATGTGTGTGAGTGTGTGTATGAATATGTGGGTGTATGAGTGTGTGTATGAATGTGTGGGTGTATGAGTGTGGGTGTATGAGTGTGTGTATGAATGTGTGTGTGAGTGTGTGTATGAGTGTGTGTATGAATGTGTGTGTGAGTGTGTGTATGAATGTGTGTATGAATGTGTGTGTGTATGAATGTGTGTATGAGTGTGTGGGTGTGAGTGTGTGTATGAGTGAGTGTATGAATGTGTGTGTGTGAGTGTGAATGTGTGTGTGAGTGTGTGTATGAATGTGTGTGTGTCTGAGTGTATGAGTGTGTGTGTGTATGAATGTGTGTATGAGTGTGTGAGTGTGTATGAGTGTGTGTATGAATGTGTGTGTGTGTGAGTGTGTGTATGAATGTGTGTATGAATGTGTGTGTGTGTGTGTGTCTGAGTGTTCGCTAGCCTAGGCTGTCCCCCCATGGTCTGGAGCCCCCAGGTCTCCCCTTGTTGGCACTCCCCGTCACCTCGCTGCGTTTGCCCGCCACCGCCACCCCCGGTACCGGAGCTGCCCCCTGCTGCTGCTGCTGCTGCTGCAGGGGATTCTGGGAGAACGTCTGTCTGAGCGGAGCTGCACCAATGGGGGAGGGCAGGGGGGGGGTGTCAGGACAAAGACAAAGGTGCTCCCCCGCCCGGCTGTATAGCCTCGAACAAGATTGCCGTGCGTGTGGTGGTGTGGCCGGAACCACTCCCACCCGGCCACCTCGGCTAGCGAACGCTCGCACACTCACAGCTACACTCACGCACACACAACAACAACCGCCGTTCGCCACTAAGTGGCGGTGACATCACCACGACGCTTGTGCCAGGCCATGTGCACCTTGAGGCCACGTGAAGTGTCGAACGCCCGCTGGCAGGAGGTCACGGGGCAGACCCAGCAGGTGCCACGGGTCGACTGACTGAGATGACTGGCTGATGCACCACCTGTGCCCCCTACTGCGCCAACCGGCGCTCCGCTCGTTGTTGTGAGCGTCGCTCCTCCGCCCTCCGTTGTTGTTGGAGGGCGACTGCCTCCAACTGCCCAGTAGCGTCCTTCACGAGCCTCCTCCACAGAGGCCGATCTTGACACCGCTGGTACCAGTCATCGGCAAGTCCACTCAGCTCCACGTCCTCCTGTGCCACATCACTCCATCTCTTCTCTAGCCCGTGCCGCGCCCGCTTAGCCCCCTCAATCCGGCCAAACAAAAGCTGTTTCGGCATGCGGTGGCTGGGCATGCGGGCTACATGACCCAGCCATCGCAGCCTTGCCCGTAGGAGGAGCTCACCGATGGGACCTTGCCCAGATCTTTCAAGGATTTCTGAGCTCCTCACACAATGCAGTCTGGTTAAACCCAGGATGGATCGTAGGCAGGCCAGCCTAAATGTTTCCAACCGGCGAAGATGCTCCATTAAGGGGGTCCACGTTTCACAAGCGTAGAGAAGGGAGGGAATGACCATGGCTGAGAAGACCTGAAGCTTAGTGCGGAGCGACAGACCAGGTAGCTTCCACACAGCGTTACGCAACCGATGAAAAGATATTGCCGCTCGACTGATTCGGAGTGAGAGCTCTGCTGTTAAACTGGAGCCAGTCATAAGCACACTGCCCAGGTATGGGAAACTCTCCACTCTCTCCACAACTGCCCCATCACCGATTGGGAGTTGTGGGGGTGGAGTGTCCGATGGTACAAAATACCCAGGCAGGTGCTTAGTTTTGGTGGGGCTGATGGTAAGGCCCCATCTCTTAGTGGCACGCTCCAGTCTCAGCAGCAGCGTCTCCAACTCCTCCTCTGAATGAGCAGCTATTACCAAATCATCAGCAACATAACGTGGTTGAGCAATAGGGAGCCATCCCTTGACCGCACCCGGGCATCGATCAGTCTCCCATTATATCTGTACCATATGGAGATTCCCCCGGTACAGCTATTGAAAGCCTCACCATCATGAAGGTCCTTAATGATGGTGAGCAGAGGGTCAGGGACTCCGAAAGCACGAAGAACAACCCAGAGCCCAGGCCTACTGATGGTATCATAGGACTTGACCAGGTCAATAAAGCAGCACGCACTCACACACACTCACATTCACACACACACACATTCACACACATTCACAAACACATTCACACTCACATTCACTCACACACACATTCACACACATTCACAAACACATTCACACTCACATTCACTCACACAAACACTTACATTCACACACACATTCATACACATTCACACACATTCACACTCACATTCACTCACACACACATTCACAAACACATTCACACTCACATTCACTCACACACACATTCACACACATTCACAAACACATTCACACTCACATTCACTCACACAAACACTCACATTCACACACACACACATTCACACACACTCACACACACATTCACACTCACATTCACTCACACAAACACTCACATTCACACACACACATTCACACACATTCACACTCACATTCACTCACACAAACACTCACGTTCACTCACACGTTCACACACACATTCACACTCACATACACTCACTCACACTCACACTCATACACATTCACACACATTCACACACACTCGCACACACACATTCACACTCACACACACACATTCACACTCACACACACATTCACACACACACATTCACACACACTCACACATTCACACACACTCACACACATTCACACACACTCACACACATTCACACACACTCACACACTCACTCACACTCACACACACACATTCATACACATTCACACACACACACACTCACACACACTCAGAGACACAGACAAAGACCCCCCCCATCCCGTGTAGCCTTGACAGACTGTAGGGGCAAGTGCTGTTAGCGAGTAGCAGCACCTACGAAGGCCGGCATACACACACACACATTCACACACACTCACTCACATTCACACACATTTACACATTCACACACACTCACACACACACTCACTCACATTCACACACACACACTCAGAGACACAGACAAACAGACTGTTGGGGCAAGGCCGGCACGGTGGTACAAGAGGTGGGTGGGTGGCCAGCACCACGCCCGGCCGCCTTTGTCTCCCCGGTGGCGATGTTTACCGCACGAGGTTACTCATTTGAGGCCGAGTCGACCTAGGGGAGGGCCAGGGCCACTCCATCGCCTGAGCAAGGGGATCTCGGAGGTAGCTCCGCGATGTCCGCTTCCCCGCACGTAGCGCCTGAGCTCTAAGCCAATCAGAAGCCAGGACTGTGACGCGGGGGACCACCTGGGGAGTGGGTGGCTTGGCCCGTGTGAGGCTCGTGTGAGTGAGCGGGGGGGTGGGGGGGGGGGGGGAGGGGAGGGAGGGGGAGGGAGGGAGGGGAGGGGGAGGGAGGGAGTGAATGGGAGGGAGGGAGGGGAGGGAGGGGGGAGGGGGAGAAGGGATGGAGGGGAAGGGATGGAGTGGAGGGAGGGGAGGGGGAGGGAGTGAATGGGAGGGAGGGGGGGGAGGGAGGGGGGAGTGAATGGGAGGGAGGGGAGGGGAGGGAGGGGGGGGGAGGTACCGACCCTTGGCGGCGATATCGAGCCGGTGCTTGATGTATCTCTCACGCTCCTTGAGGCGGTGAGCTTCCTTAGAATCATTCCAATCTGCGCAAACACACTCACACAGAGACCCGTAGACTCACACAGAGACCCATAGACTCACACAGAGACCCGTAGACTCACACAGAGACCCGTAGACTCACACAGAGACCCATAGACTCACACAGAGACCCGTAGACTCACACAGAGACCCGTAGACTCACACAGAGACCCATAGACTCACACAGAGACCCATAGACTCACACAGCGACCCATAGACTCATCACACAGACACAGACTCACACAAAGACCCTTAGACTCATCACACAGACACAGACTCACACAGAGACCCATAGACACATCACACAGACACAGACTCGCACAGAGACCCATAGACTCATCACACAGACACAGACTCACACAGAGACCCATAGACACATCACACAGACACAGACTAACACAGAGACCCGTAGACATATCACATAGACACAGAGGCCGTAGACACATCACAGAGACACAGACTCACACACTTGCTACACATACACTACACACACACACTGCACCACACACACACTACACCCACACTACACACACGCTACCCACTACTACACACACACACTACACATACGCCACACACACACCCACAACACACACGCTACACACTCACACTACACAGACGCTACACACTCACACTACACAGACGCTACACACACACTCACTACACACACTCACACTACACACACGCCACACACGCTACACACACACACTTGCTACACACACACTTGCTACACACACTACACACATGCTACACACACACACACACTACACACACACACTACACACACTACTACACACACACTACACACACACACACTACACACAGTACTACACACACACACTACACACACACTACACACACTACACACACACCACACACACACACACTACACACACTACTACACACACTACACACACTACACACACACACTACACACACACTACACACACTACTACACACACACACTACTACACACACACACACACTACTACACACTACACACACACTACACACAGTACTACACACTACTACACACACTACACACACTACTACACACACACTACACACACTACACACTACTAAACAACACACACTACACACTACACTACACACACTACTACACACACTACACACATTACACACACTACACACATTACACACACTACACACTACACACACTACACACACACTACACACATTACACACACTACACACACTACACACATTACACACACTACACACATTACACACACTACACACTACACACACTACACACACACTACACACACTACACACATTACACACACTACACACTACACACATTACACACACTACACACTACACACACTACACACACTACACAGTACTACACACACTACACACACACACTACACACAGTACTACACACACTACTACACACACTACACACACACTACTACACACTACACTACACACACCACACACTACTACACTACACACACACACCACTACTACACACACTACTACACACTACACACACTACTACACACACACTACTACACACTACACACACACACCACTACACACACACGTGCTCACTCTTCTTAACGGTGGAGATGAAGCCCTGGCTGGGCATGGCTCCCGCCGCGTGCCGCACGCGCTCCGGAATTCCCAGGATCCGGCGGACCGAGCCCACTCGAAGCACCGACACTTGCATCAGCGACACCACATTTGACGTTAGCCAGTAGGTGAACACCGCCTGCCAGACAGAGAGAGAGAGACACGGAAGGCACAGGGGATCCCACGCGTAGGTCTGCGACAGACTCCCCCCTGCCCCGAGTCTTCCGTCGCTGCAGGGAAGCCACACACTCTCTCTCCCCGCGGGGTGGGGGGGGGGTTCTTTACGGTCAGGTCCAAGGCACGCGGGAAAGATCACTGAGGCGAGAACACGACGTCACGGTCGCTCCCTTGCTCGCCAAATTCTCCAGCACCCCCGCCCTCCCCTGCACGTGGTGGCTGGGGTAATTGTTGGGCCCAACAGGGGGCAATAGCGGTAGGACTTGGGGTGGTGGTGGTGGAGGGGGGGGGGGATTACGCAACAATCCAGGTGCCTCGAGAAGGAGGTTCCGGATGGTGTGGGCGTGGCCGGGGGTGACCGCCGGACCCCGGAGCGGCTTGGGGAGTTGGCCTCGAAGCCGAAGAAACCAGAAGCCACCCGAGGGGATAGGGGCCCCGGAGCCCCAAGCACCCGATAGTCCTTCTAAGGGGGGCCGTGGAGCTCGGTGAGGTCAGGGTCGTGACTCCCCTAGGCCCCGCTCGCCGGAGGGCCACAGGAGCAGTAATAGCCCAGGGGCGGGCAAATGCTTTGGAGTCGCGTGCCACGGTGGGTTCTGAAATTCGACAGACCGGGTGGGAGCGTTTGCGTGAACCAAATATATAAGCGACGTGTAAAAATCATTACGCAAAAGGAATTTGGCCCTCAACGGGTAGCAAAGCATTCGTTTGCGAGGCAATTTAACAAACTGCACGGACACGAACGGCACAACAAACAATGTCGTAACTCCCGGTCAAAGTGCGCCATCTAACGGGGAAATGGGGGGGGGGCATTACAGGAGAAGGGGAAAATTTAATTTAAGAAGAACAATAATAACTTTCGATTTAAAGCTTTGGTGACTGCAAGGATTCATCTTCTTTGGTTCTTTCGGTAAAGTCACGTAGAATGATAATAAAATAATAAATTGATAAAATAAAATAACACAATAATATTCTCACGACGTTTCGGCCACAACACAAGCGGCCTTCATCAGGTGAAGGGGGCGAGACTGTCTGGTAGGACAGCGCTGGAGTGAAAGAGAGAATATATTAATATTATTGTGTTATTTAATATTATTGTGTTATTTTATTTTATCAATTTATTATTTTATTATCATTCTACGTGACTTTACCGAAAGAACCAAAGAAGAATAATACTAATTTTCGATTTAAAGCTTTCGTGACTGCAAGGATTCATCTCCTTTGGTTCTTTCGGTAAAGGTCACCACCACCAAGTAGAATGAGAATAAAATAATAAAAGAACACGATAAAATTCTCACGACTTTTCGGCCACAACGCAAGCGGCCATCTTCAGGTGAAAGGTTTCATTCTCATTCTACGTGACCTTACCGAAAGAACCAAAGAAGAAGAATAATAATAATGATATTTGGACAACCGCTCCGAAGGTGGGATTGGTAACATGCTTATTCAACTCCGCCCACACAGTTTCAAAAGACACGGTCCTTGCTGAACAGCGTTCATTCAAGCTCCGTCTTCTCGACAGGCCCTGTTTCTTCACCCTGAAGAAGGCCACTTGGGTTGTGGCCGAAACGTCGTGAGGATTTTTATAATTTTACTTCACTATTTTATTTCCATTCTACGTGGTGGTGACTTCACCGAAAGAACCAAGAAGCGGCGCCGTACTTTTTGCCCACGTCCGAGTTAGCCCCAGTGGCTAGGGTACGTTATACCCCGGGTGGCTGTACACACCCCTAGGTTGCGAGTGTGGAAGGGGCCAATTTTAGCCCCTCCGTGTTAGGAACCTAGTGTTGCGTTACTGTCACGTTGTGCAATAAACGTGTCGCCTCCTTACAAAGAAGGCTCCCCCCCCCCCCCGTCTCCGTACGAACCCACTGCACACTCCACAGCCGCGCCCCACCTCTCTCCCGTGAACTCCTACAGCTACGATTCGACCAAGAGCTCCTTTCCCCTCCCCGCACCTGTATGAAGCCACAGCCGCAGATAATTTTCTCAACTGACGACGAAACGAGAGAACTGGAGCGGCGCCGGACTCTTTTTGGTTCTGTTCGGTAAAGTCGCGCAGGTTAAAAAAAAAAATTCGGGCCACAACACAAGCGGCCTTCCATCAGGTGAAGGGGACCGTGCTGTCACGAGGACAGCGTTGGAGTGAAGAAGACAGTCCCAGCCCTGGCCGCGTCCTTTTAAGCTGTGTGGGAGGAAACAGAACGCTTTGACGAAGGAATTGGCTTAAAATGACCGAAAAGCACAAGAGGACCGGCACGGAGGAGGGGGAGTTTACAAATGTAGGTGTGAAGTGAAATAGAACCAAAGAGAGTGGATCCTTGCAGTCACGAAAGCTTCAAATCTAGAATTGGAACGGCGCTGTCGGCGGCACGGCGGTGTTTGCTACCCGCCGCCGCTACCGGGTAACTCGTTTGAGGCCGAGTTGACCCGGGGGGAGGAAATGTCTAGCGGCAGATTAAAAAAAAAACCCTGGACGCTTGACGTCGATAATAAATGTGGGGTGGGGTGGGGTAGGGGGGGAACATACAGCAGGCGTCGTCAGGGTCGGGATCGAACCCATGGCATCCTGCGTACAAGGCGAGGTAGTCAACATCTCCCAGCCACCGTGATGATGATGATGAGAGAGAGAGACGCAGACCCCAAATATACAGCAGCAGCAGCAGGCATCGTCAGAGGTCGGGATGGAACCCACGACCTCCTGCGTACCAGGCGAGGTAGTCAACATCTCCTAGCCACCGTGATGATGATGAGAGAGAGACGTAGACTCCAAATATACAGCAGCAGCAGCAGGCGTCGTCAGGGTCGAGATCAAACCCACGACCTCCTGTGTACCAGGCGAGGTAGTTAACTGAAGGTGCAAGCCCCCCCCTCCGAGGCCCCCCCAGAGCCCCCCTCTCCCCCAGGGCCCCCCCCCCCCCGCTGAGCCACTGTAGTGGCTACGAGCGCCGCGAGGGCAACAGCCAATCGGCATCGGCCTGCCGCCCCCCCACACCGAGCGTCGCGAGGGCAACAGCCAATCGGCATCGGCCTGCCGCCCCCCCACACCGAGCGCCGCGAGGGCAACAGCCAATCGACATCGGCCTGCCGCTCCCCCCACACCGAGCGCCGCGAGGGCAACAGCCAATCGGCATCGGGCTGCCGCTCCCCCCACACCGAGCGCCGCGAGGGCAACAGCCAATCGGCGTCGGCCTGCCGCTCCCCCCACACCGAGCGCCGCGAGGGCAACAGCCAATCGGCATCGGCCTGCCGCTCCCCCAACACACCGAGCGCCGCGAGGGCAACAGCCAATCGGCATCGGCCTGCCGCTCCCAGCCCCGCCCCAAGGGCGTTGCTCACAGCCACCGCAGCGCGACGGATCGGCAACTACCGAGGAGGATGGGCGGTTGTTTTGCCACACGGAACACCACACACACACACACGTGCAACATGCACACACGCACACACAACACACGCACCACACGCACACACGCACACACAACACACACGCACCACACACACGCAACAGACGCAACACGCACGCATGTGTCAGCCATTAGCGGAATACTGTCTCCACGTGTGGCTGTGTGCGGTCGTGGTTGTAAAAATGCGTGCGGGTGGTTGCGATTGCGGGGATTTGGTGTGATGGTGGCCGTGTGTGTGTGGTGGTTTTGGTGGCTGTGTGTGTGATGGTTGTGTGTGGTGGTTGTGTGTGTGGTGGTTGTGTGTGGTGGTTGTGTGTGTGGTGGTTGTGTGTGTTGTGGTTGTGTGTGTGGTGGTTGTGTGTGTCCGGCAAAACAACCCCCTACCTCCTCGCGGTGCCGGACGGGCAACTCTGTCGTGGACAGCGCTGTGGGGGGAGATCCAATTTTGATTGGCTCCTCCCCTCATGGCATATGTGTCCACCACAGGGGCTAAACGGGGGCTCTGGACGGGTGCGAGGGGCTGGTAACCCCTCCACCTTCAATTAATTACCACGAAACCACGAATAAAACGCTTGCGAAACGTGGACCCCCCTAATGGAACATCTTCGCCGGTTAGAAACATTTAGGCTGGCCTGCCTACGATCCATCCTGGGTTTAACCAGACTGGATTGTGTGAGAAGCTCACAAATCCTTGAAAGATCTGGGCAAGGTCCCATCGGTGAGCTCCTCCGGCGGGCAAGGCTGCGATGGCTGGGTCATGTAGCCCGCATGCCCAGCCACCGCATTGAGGGGGCTAAGCGGGCGCGGCACGGGCTAGAGAAGAGATGGAGTGATGTGGTACAGGAGGACGTGGAGCTGAGTGGACTTGCCGATGACTGGTACCAGCGGTGTCAAGATCGGCCTCTGTGGAGGAGGCTCGTGAAGGATGCTACTGGGCAGTTGGAGGCGGTCGCCCTCCAACAACAACGGAGGGCGGAGGAGCGACGCTCACAACAGCGAGCGGAGCGCCGGGTGGCTAAAGCACAGCAGGTTGGCACAGTAGGGGGCACAGGTGGTGCATCAGCCAGTCATCTCAGTCAGTCGACCCGTGGCACCTGGGTCTGCCCCGTGACCTCCTGCCAGCGGGCGTTCGACACTTCACGTGGCCTCAGGGTGCACATAGCCTGGCACAAGCGTCGTGGTGACGTCACCGCCACTTAGTGGCGAATGGCGGTTGTTGTTGTTGTTGTTGTGTGTGTGATGGTTTTGTGTGTGATGGTTGTGTGTCTGCGTTGTGGTTGCGTGTTGGTTGTGTATGTGCGATGGTTGTGTGTGTGTGTGCAGTGATTGTGGTTGTTGTGTGTGTGATGGTTGTGTGTGTAGTGGTTGTGTGTGTGTGTGTAGTGGTTGTGTGTGTGTGGTGGTTGTGGTTGTTGTGTGTGTGATGGTTGTGTGTGATGGTTGTGTGTGGTGGTTGTGTGTGTGATGGTTGTGTGTGTGATGGTTGCGTGTGATGGTTGTGTGTGTGTGATGGTTGTGTGTGTGGTGGTTGTGTGTGGTGGTTGTGTGTGATGGTTGTGTGTGGTGGTTGTGTGTGATGGTTGTGTGTGGTGGTTGTGTGTGTGGTGGTTGTGGTTGTTGTGTGTGTGATGGTTGTGTGTGTGATGGTTGTGTGTGTGGTGGTTGTGTGTGTGGTGGTTGTGTGTGATGGTTTTGTGTGTGTGTGATGGTTGTGTGTGTGATGGTTGTGTGTGTGATGGCTGTGTGTGTGATAGTTGTGTGTGGTGGTTGTGTGTGTGATGGTTGTGTGTGTGGTGGTTGTGTGTGATGGTTGTGTGTGTGTGTGATGGTTGTGTGTGTGTGTTGTGGTTGTGTGTGTGTGTTGGTTGTGTGTGTGCGTTGTGGCTGCATGTTGGTTGTGTGTGTGATGGTTGTGTGTGTGATGGTTGTGTGTGTGTTGTGGTTGCGTGTTGGTTGTGTGTGTGTGATGGTTGTGTGTGTATGTGTGATGGTTGTGTGTGTATGTGTGATGGTTGTGTGTGTGTGTTGTGGTTGTGTGTGTGCGTGATGGTTGTGTGTGCGTTGTGGCTGCGTGTGTGTGTGTGATGGTTGTGTGTGTGTGATGGTTGTGTGTGTGATAGTTGTGTGTGTGTGTGATGGTTGTGTGTGTGTGATTGTTGTGTGTGGTTGTTGTGTGTGCGTGTGTGTGATGGTTCTTGTGTGTGTGTGTGTAATGGTTGTGTGTGTGTGTGATGGTTGTGTGTGTGTGTGATGGTTGTGTGTGCGTTGTGGCTGCGTGTGTGTGTGTGATGGTTGTGTGTGTGTGATGGTTGTGTGTGTGATAGTTGTGTGTGTGTGATGGTTGTGTGTGTGTGATTGTTGTGTGTGGTTGTTGTGTGTGCGTGTGTGTGATGGTTCTTGTGTGTGTGTGTGTAATGGTTGTGTGTGTGTGTGTGTGATGGTTGTGTGTGTGTGTGATGGTTGTGTGTGATGGTGGTTGCGTGTTGGTTGTGTGTGTGTGTGATGGTTGTGTTTGTGTGATGGTTGTATGTGATGGTTGTGTGTGTGTGATGGTTGTGTGTGTGTGATGGTTGTGGGTGTGTGTGATGGTTGTGTGTGTGTGATGGTTGTGTGTGTGTGATGGTTGTGGGTGTGTGTGATGGTTGTGTGTGTGTGATGGTTGTGTGTGTGTGTGAGATGGTTGTGTGTGTGTGTGTGCGTTGTGGCGGTTGTGTGTGTGTGTGATGGTTGTGTGTGATGGTTGTGTGTGATGGTTGTGTGTGTGATGGATATGTGTGTGTGTGCGTTGTGGTTGTGTGTGTGATGGTTGTGTGTGATGGTTGTGTGTGTGTGTGATGGTTGTGTGTGTGTGATGGTTGTGTGTGCATTGTGGTTGTGTGTGTGATGGCTGTGTGTGTGTGATGTGGTTGCGTGTTGGTTGTGTATGATGGTTGTGTGTGATGGTTGTGTGTGTGATGGTTGTGTGTGTGTGTGTTGTGGTTGCGTGTTGGTTGTGTGTGTGTGATGGTTGTGTGTGCGTTGTGGCTGCGTGTGTGTGTGTGCGATGGTTGTGTGTGTGTGATGGTTGTGTGTGATAGTTGTGTGTGTGATGGTTGTGTGTGTGTGATTGTTGTGTGTGGTTGTTGTGTGTGTGTGTGTGTGATGGTTGTGTGTGTGATGGTTGTGTGAGTGTGATGGTTGTGTGTGTGCATTGTGGTTGTGTGTGTGATGGTTGTGTGTGTGTGTGTGTGCGTTGTGGTTGTGTGTGTGGTTGTGTGTGATGGTTGTGTGTGTGTGTTGTGGTTGCGTGTTGGTTGTGTGTGTGATGGTCGTGTGTGTGTGTGCGTTGTGGTTGTGGTTGTGTGTGATGGTTGTGTGTGTGTGGTGTGGTTGCGTGTTGGTTGTGTGTGTGTGTGATGGTTGTGTGTGTATGTGTGATGGTTGTGTGTGTATGTGTGATGGTTGTGTGTATGTGTGATGGTTGTGTGTGTGTGATGTTTGTGTGTGTGATGGTTGTGTGTGTGTGTGATGGTTGTGTGTGTGTGTGATGGTTGTGTGTGTGTGTGATGGTTGTGTGTGTGTGATGGTTGTGTGTGTGTGATGGGTGTGTGTTTGTGTGATGGTTGTGTGTGTGTGATGGTTGTGTGTGTGTGATGGTTGTGTGTGTGTGTGATGGTTGTGTGTTTGTGTGATGGTTGTGTGTGTGTGTGATGGTTGTGTGTATGTGTGATGGTTGCGTGTGTGTGTGTGTGTTGTGGTTGTGTGTTGGTTGCATGTGTGTGATGGTTGTGTGTGTGTGTGATGGTTGTGTGTGTGTGTGATGGCTGTGTGTGTGTGATGGTTGTGTGTGTGCGTTGTGGTTGTGTGTGTGTGATGGTTGTGTGTGTGTGTGCGTGTGTGTGTGTGATGGTTGTGTGTGTGTGCGTTGTGGCTGCGTGTGTGTGCGTTGTGGCTGCGTGTTAGTTGTGTGTGTGTGATGGTTGTGTGTGTGTGTGATGGTTGTGTGTGTGTGATGGTTGTGTGTGTGCGATGGCTGTGTGTGTGTGATGGCTGTGTGTGTGTGATGGTTGTGTGTGTGTGATGGCTGTGTGTGTGTGATGGTTGTGTGTGTGTGATGGTTGTGTGTGTGTGATGGTTGTGTGTGATGGTTGTGTGTGTGTGATGGTTGTGTGTGTGTGATGGTTGTGTGTGTGTGATGGTTGTGTGTGTGTGTGTGATGGTTGTGTGTGTGTGATGGTTGTGTGTGTGTGTGTGTGATGGTTGTGTGTGTGATGGTTGTGTGTGTGTGTGATGGTTGTGTGTGTGTGTGTGTGATGGTTGTGTGTGTGTGATGGTTGTGTGTGTGTGATGGTTGTGTGTGTGTGTGATGGTTGTGTGTGTGTGTGTGATGGTTGTGTGTGTGTGTGTGATGGTTGTGTGTGTGTGTGTGTGATGGTTGTGTGTGTGTGTGTGCGTTGTGGCTGCGTGTCGGCTGTGACGTCCGCGTCCCGACACTCACGGTGGGGAAGGAAGCGACGAGCGGCAGGATGACGATGGGGACGATGCGGAACACGTTCTTCATGGCCTTGTAGTTGGGGTTGTCCACTCCTGTCTCAGCTCCCAGCTGGAGAGAGAGAGAGATGAGAGAGCAGAGAGGACGCAGGGCTAAATTACTCCACGTCAAGTCCCAGGGGCAGCCTCACCGAAAGTCTCCTGCCAGATTTTCCCCCGGACGGCCGCGTCGCAGCAGCGGGGAGAGCAGACATGTCACCGTTGAGGTAGCTGGCGTTGGGGGTGGGGTGGGTTGTGGCCTATAGCAAGTTCCACTGTGGGTGCCGGGGTTTAGCTACGGGAGGAGGGGAAGCCGGAGAAACCCGGAGGAAACCCCACGCAGGACAGGAGGAGAGATCACACAAACTCCACTCACTCTGTAGAACAGGGGGAGATTACACAAACTCCACTCACTCTGTAGAACAGGGGAGAGATCACACAAACTCCACTCACTCTGTAGAACAGGGGAGAGATCACACAAACTCCACTCACTCTGTAGAACAGGGGGAGATCACACAAACTCCACTCGCTCTGTAGAACAGGGGGAGATCACACAAACTCCACTCACTCTGTAGAACAGGGGGAGATCACACAATCTCCACTCACTCTGTAGAACAGGGGGATAGATCACACAAACTCCACTCACTCACTCTGTAGAACAGGGAGAGATCACACAAACTCCACTTACTCTGTAGAACAGGGGAGAGATCACACAAACTCCACTCACTCTGTAGAACAGGGGGAGATCACACAAACTTCACTCACTCACTCTGTAGAACAGGGGGAGATCGCACAAACTACACTCACTCTGTAGAACAGGGGGGGATCACACAAACTCCACTCACTCACTCTGTAGAACAGGGGGAGATCACACAAACTCCACTCACTCACTCTGTAGAACAGGGGGAGATCACACAAACTCCACTCACTCACTCTGTAGAACAGGGGGAGATCACACAAACTCCACTCACTCTGTAGAACAGGGGGAGATCACACAGACTCCACTCGCTCTGTAGGACAGGGGGAGATCACACAAACTCCACTCACTCTCACTCTGTAGAACAGGGAGAGATCACACAAACTCCACTCACTCACTCTGTAGAACAGGGGGAGATCACAAAACTCCACTCACTCTGTAGAACAGGGGGAGATCACACAAACTCTACTCACTCACTCTGTAGAACAGGGGGAGATCACACAAAGTCCACTCACTTGCTCTGTAGGACAGGGGGAGATCACACAAACTCCACTCACTCACTCTGTAGAACAGGGAGAGATCACACAAACTCCACTCACTCACTCTGTAGAACAGGGGGAGATCACAAAACTCCACTCACTCTGTAGAACAGGGGGAGATCACACAAACTCTACTCACTCACTCTGTAGAACAGGGGGAGATCGCACAAACTACACTCACTCTGTAGAACAGGGGGAGATCACACAAACTCCACTCGCTCTGTAGAACAGGGGGAGATCACACAAACTCCACTCACTCTGTAGAACAGGGGGAGATCACACAATCTCCACTCACTCTGTAGAACAGGGGGATAGATCACACAAACTCCACTCACTCACTCTGTAGAACAGGGAGAGATCACACAAACTCCACTTACTCTGTAGAACAGGGGAGAGATCACACAAACTCCACTCACTCTGTAGAACAGGGGGAGATCACACAAACTTCACTCACTCACTCTGTAGAACAGGGGGAGATCGCACAAACTACACTCACTCTGTAGAACAGGGGGGGATCACACAAACTCCACTCACTCACTCTGTAGAACAGGGGGAGATCACACAAACTCCACTCACTCACTCTGTAGAACAGGGGGAGATCACACAAACTCCACTCACTCACTCTGTAGAACAGGGGGAGATCACACAAACTCCACTCACTCTGTAGAACAGGGGGAGATCACACAGACTCCACTCGCTCTGTAGGACAGGGGGAGATCACACAAACTCCACTCACTCTCACTCTGTAGAACAGGGAGAGATCACACAAACTCCACTCACTCACTCTGTAGAACAGGGGGAGATCACAAAACTCCACTCACTCTGTAGAACAGGGGGAGATCACACAAACTCTACTCACTCACTCTGTAGAACAGGGGGAGATCACACAAAGTCCACTCACTTGCTCTGTAGGACAGGGGGAGATCACACAAACTCCACTCACTCACTCTGTAGAACAGGGAGAGATCACACAAACTCCACTCACTCACTCTGTAGAACAGGGGGAGATCACAAAACTCCACTCACTCTGTAGAACAGGGGGAGATCACACAAACTCTACTCACTCACTCTGTAGAACAGGGGGAGATCACACAAAGTCCACTCACTCGCTCTGTAGGACAGGGGGAGATCACACAAACTCCACTCACTCACTCTGTAGAACAGGGAGAGATCACACAAACTCCACTCACTCACTCTGTAGAACAGGGGGAGATCACACAAACTCCACTCACTCTGTAGAACAGGGGGAGAGATCACACAAACTCCACTCACTCTGTAGGACAGGGGGAGATCACACACACTCCACTCACTCACTCTGTAGAACAGGGGGAGATCATACAAACTCCACTCACTCACTCTATAGAACAGGGGGAGATCACACAAAGTCCACTCACTCGCTCTGTAGGACAGGGGGAGATCACACAAACTCCACTCACTCACTCTGTAGAACAGGGGGAGATCACACAAACTTCACTCACTCACTCTGTAGAACAGGGGGAGATCACACAAACTCCACTCACTCACTCTGTAGAACAGGGGGAGATCACACACACTCCACTCGCTCTGTAGGACAGGGGGAGATCACACAAACTCCACTCACTCACTCTGTAGAACAGGGGGAGATCACACAAAGTCCACTCACTCGCTCTGTAGGACAGGGGGAGATCACACAAACTTCACTCACTCACTCTGTAGAACAGGGGGAGATCACACAAACTCCACTCACTCACTCTGTAGAACAGGGGGAGATCACACAAACTCCACTCACTCACTCTGTAGAACAGGGGGAGATCACACAAACTCCACTCACTCACTCTGTAGAACAGGGGGAGATCACACAAACTCCACTCACTCAAACTGTAGAACATGGGGAGATCACACAAACTCCACTCACTCTGTAGAACAGGGGGAGGAGATCACACAAACTCCACTCACTCACTCTGTAGAACAGGGGGATGAGATCACACAAACTCTACTCACTCACTCTGTAGAACAGGGGGAGGAGATCACACAAACTCCACTCACTCACTCTGTAGAACAGGGGGATGAGATCACACAAACTACACTCACTCACTCTGTAGAAGAGGGGGAGGAGATCACACAAACTCCACTCACTCTGTAGAACAGGGGGAGATCACACAAACTCCACTCACTCACTCTGTAGAACAGGGGGAGGAGATCACACAAACTCCACTCACTCACTCTGTAGAACAGGGGGATGAGATCACACAAACTACACTCACTCACTCTGTAGAAGAGGGGGAGGAGATCACACAAACTCCACTCACTCTGTAGAACAGGGGGAGATCACACAAACTCCACTCACTCACTCTATAGAACAGGGGGAGGAGATCACACAAACTCCACTCACTCACTCTGTAGAACAGGGGGAGATCACGCAAACTCCACTCACTCACTCTGTAGAACAGGGGGAGATCACACAAACTCCACTCAATCACTCTGTAGAACAGGGGGAGAGATCACGCAAACTCCACTCACTCACTCTGTAGAACAGGGGGAGATCACACAAACTCCACTCACTCTGTAGAACAAGGGGAGATCACACAAACTCCACTCACTCTGTAGAACAAAGGGAGGAGATCACACAAACTCCACTCACTTCGTAGAACAGGGGGAGATCACACAAACTCCACTCACTCTGTAGAACAGGGGGAGATCACACCAACTCCACTCACTCTGTAGAACAGGGGGAAATCACACAAACTCCACTCACTCTGTAGAACAGGGGGAGAGATCACACAAACTCCACTCACTCACTCACTCTGTAGAACAGGGGGAGGAGATCACACAAACTCCACTCACTCTGTAGAACAGGGGGAGATCACACAAACTCCACTCACTCACTCTATAGAACAGGGGGAGGAGATCACACAAACTCCACTCACTCACTCTGTAGAACAGAGGGAGATCACACAAACTCCACTCACTCACTATAGAACAGGGGGAGGAGATCACACAAACTCCACTCACTCTGTAGAACAGGGGGAGAGATCACACAAACTCCACTCACTCTGTAGGACAGGGGGAGATCACACACACTCCACTCACTCACTCTGTAGAACAGGGGGAGATCATACAAACTCCACTCACTCACTCTATAGAACAGGGGGAGATCACACAAAGTCCACTCACTCGCTCTGTAGGACAGGGGGAGATCACACAAACTCCACTCACTCACTCTGTAGAACAGGGGGAGATCACACAAACTTCACTCACTCACTCTGTAGAACAGGGGGAGATCACACAAACTCCACTCACTCACTCTGTAGAACAGGGGGAGATCACACAAACTCCACTCGCTCTGTAGGACAGGGGGAGATCACACAAACTCCACTCACTCACTCTGTAGAACAGGGGGAGATCACACAAAGTCCACTCACTCGCTCTGTAGGACAGGGGGAGATCACACAAACTTCACTCACTCACTCTGTAGAACAGGGGGAGATCACACAAACTCCACTCACTCACTCTGTAGAACAGGGGGAGATCACACAAACTCCACTCACTCACTCTGTAGAACAGGGGGAGATCACACAAACTCCACTCACTCACTCTGTAGAACAGGGGGAGATCACACAAACTCCACTCACTCAAACTGTAGAACATGGGGAGATCACACAAACTCCACTCACTCTGTAGAACAGGGGGAGGAGATCACACAAACTCCACTCACTCACTCTGTAGAACAGGGGGATGAGATCACACAAACTCTACTCACTCACTCTGTAGAACAGGGGGAGGAGATCACACAAACTCCACTCACTCACTCTGTAGAACAGGGGGATGAGATCACACAAACTACACTCACTCACTCTGTAGAAGAGGGGGAGGAGATCACACAAACTCCACTCACTCTGTAGAACAGGGGGAGATCACACAAACTCCACTCACTCACTCTATAGAACAGGGGGAGGAGATCACACAAACTCCACTCACTCACTCTGTAGAACAGGGGGAGATCACGCAAACTCCACTCACTCACTCTGTAGAACAGGGGGAGATCACACAAACTCCACTCAATCACTCTGTAGAACAGGGGGAGAGATCACGCAAACTCCACTCACTCACTCTGTAGAACAGGGGGAGATCACACAAACTCCACTCACTCTGTAGAACAAGGGGAGATCACACAAACTCCACTCACTCTGTAGAACAAAGGGAGGAGATCACACAAACTCCACTCACTTCGTAGAACAGGGGGAGATCACACAAACTCCACTCACTCTGTAGAACAGGGGGAGAGATCACACAAACTCCACTCACTCTGTAGAACAGGGGGAGATCACACAAACTCCACTCACTCTGTAGAACAGGGGGAGATCACACAAACTCCACTCACTCCGTAGAACAGGGGGAGATCACACAAACTCCACTCACTCACTCACTCTGTAGAACAGGGGGAGGAGATCACACAAACTCCACTCACTCTGTAGAACAGGGGGAGATCACACAAACTCCACTCACTCACTCTATAGAACAGGGGGAGGAGATCACACAAACTCCACTCACTCACTCTGTAGAACAGAGGGAGATCACACAAACTCCACTCACTCACTATAGAACAGGGGGAGGAGATCACACAAACTCCACTCACTCTGTAGAACAGGGGGAGCGAACACACAAACTCCACTCACTCACTCTGTAGAACAGGGGGAGATCACACAAACTCCACTCACTCACTCCGTAGAACAGGGGGAGATCACACAAACTCCACTCGCTCTGTAGAACAGGGGGAGATCACACAAACTCCACTCACTCACTCTGTAGAACAGGGGGAGATCACACAAACTCCAACACTCACTCTATAGAACAGGGGGAGGAGATCACACAAACTCCACTCACTCACTCCGTAGAACAGGGGGAGATCACACAAACTCCACTCACTCTGTAGAACAGGGGGAGGAGATCACACAAACTCCACTCACTCTATAGAACAGGGGGAGGAGATCACACAAACTCCACTCACTCTGTAGAACAGGGGGAGCGAACACACAAACTCCACTCACTCACTCTGTAGAACAGGAGGAGATCACACAAACTCCACTCACTCACTCCGTAGAACAGGGGGAGATCACACAAACTCCACTCACTCTGTAGAACAGGGGGAGGAGATCACACAAACTCCACTCACTCTATAGAACAGGGGGAGGAGATCACACAAACTCCACTCACTCTCTAGAACAGGGGGAGAGAACACACAAACTCCACTCACTCATTCTGTATAACAGGGGGAGATCACACAAACTCCACTCACTCACTCTGTACAACAGGGGGAGGAGATCACACAAACTCCACTCACTCTGTAGAACAGGGGGAGAGATCACACAAACTCCACTCACTCACTCTGTAGAACAGGGGGAGGAGATCACACAAACTCTACTCACTCTGTATAACAGGGGGAGATCACACAAACTCCACTCAATCACTCTGTAGAACAGGGGGAGAGAACACACAAACTCCACTCACTCACTCTGTAGAACAGGGGGAGGAGATCACACAAACTCCACTCACTCTATAGAACAGGGGGAGGAGATCACACAAACTCCACTTACTCACTCTGTAGAACAGGGGGAGGAGATCACACAAACTCCACTCACTCACTCTGTATAACAGGGGGAGATCACACAAACTCCACTCAATCACTCTGTAGAACAGGGGGAGAGAACACACAAACTCCACTCACTCACTCTGTAGAACAGGGGGAGGAGATCACACAAACTCCACTCACTCACTCCGTAGAACAGGGGGAGATCACACAAACTCCACTCACTCTGTAGAACAGGGGGAGGAGATCACACAAACTCCACTCACTGACACTCTATAGAACAGGGTTGGGGGTGACAGTCCGTGGCGCGCCCTCCCCACCCCGCGTTGGCGAGCGTGACGGGGATTGGCGCTGCGACTGACCTCCAGCACGGCCAGCATGGTGAGCGTGGAGGCGACGGGCAGCAGGTAGAGGGGATCCGCCGCCGTGAGGTCCAGGAACCAGAGGGCGCCGCCAGTCTCCATGCTGGGCACGGGCAGCTCGGCCATCTTCCTCAGCGCCATGAAGAAGGACAGGAAGATCGGCATCTGGAGGTGGGCGGCGACGTCAGCGAGGCAAAGGTCGCCCGTGCCGTCTCGGCGGGCTGTCGGGGGCGAGCGCCGGAAAGGGGAGCGGCAACGAAGGCCGGCGGGGGTGGGGGGTCGGCACCACGCCCGGCCGCCTTTGTCTCCCCAAGGAGGGCGACGTTTTTTTTTTCACTTTTTTAATTTTTAATTTTTACACACACACACACCGCACCGGGGGTTACTCATTTGAGGCCGAGTCGACCTAGGGGGAGAACCCCAGCGCCGGTTCGGACAATCGTCACCGGTGTCGGCCGTGAGCGGGAGTCGAACTCGGGCGGCCGGGTTCGTAGCGCGGCGTGTCGCTGACCGCTGCACTATCACACCTGCTGGACTACATAGTGACGGATGCGAGTCCATGTCCTTGACACCAGGACCTCCCGTGGAGCTGATCTGCACTCTGACCATCGACTTGTCATCTGTAAGTTGCGCCTGCCATTCTTCCACTCTGGTGGTGGGTGTACACCCAGGACGCCATTAAAACCCACAGTGGCCTGGTCTCAGCTAGGGGGGGGGGGCGGAGGGAGGGCCTTCGCCTCCCCGGCGGCAATGATTTACCCCGCGGGCGCGGGCACACACACCTGAACCATTGGCACGAGGAAGCACTTGAGAGGGTTGATCTTGTGCTTCTTGTAAAAGGAAGTCAGCTCCGTGTGCGCCTTGGAGACTGCGCGCGGACACGCGGAGGGGGACGCGCGTTCAGATTCGACCTCGCGACCTTCGGGGGCGCCCCCCGGGGTGGGGGGGGGGGGGGGGGGGCCCCCCCCCCCCTCCGGGGACGTCCTACGGCGTCGACGATGGAGCCACACGGCGGAGGTTTTGTCGGGGGGTTACATCGCGAGAATGAGTCTAAATTTTGATTTAAAGCTTTCGCGACCGCAGGGATTCACAGCCTTGGTTCTTTCGGTTAAAGTCACCACCAACGTAGAAGGGGAACGATAAAATAATAAAAAAAATGAAACGATAAAATTCTCACGACGTTTCGACTGCAACACAAGCAGCAATCATCATCAGGTGGGTAAAGTCACCACCACGTAGAAGGGAAACAATAAAATAATAAAAATATAAAACAATATTTTTATTATATTCTTGGTTCTTTCGGTAAAGTCACCACGTAGAAGGGAAACAATAAAGTAATAAAAATATAAAATAATATTTTTATTATAATCTTGGTTCTTTCGGTAAAGTCACCACGTAGAAGGGAAACAATAAAATAATAAAAATATGAAACAATATTTTTATTATAATCTTGGTTCTTACGGTAAAGTCACCACCACGTAGAAGGTAAACAATAAAATAATAAAAATATAAAGCGATAAAATTATCACGACGTTTCGACTGCAACACAAGCAGCAATCATCATCAGGTGTGAAAACCACAGCAAGAACATTTTCTTGCTGTGAAAACCACAGCAACAAAATTTTCCTGCTGTGGTTTTCACACCTGATGATGATGATGATTGCTTCTCGTGTTGCAGTCTCGCTGTGGTTTTCACAGCAAGAAAATTTTCTCGCTGTGGTTTTCACAGCAAGAAAATGTTCTCGCTCTGGTTTTCACACCTGATGATGATTGCTTCTCATGTTGCAGTCTCGCTGTGGTTTTCACAGCAAGAAAATTTTCTCGCTGTGGTTTTCACACCTGATGATGATGATGATTGCTTCTCGTGTTGCAGTCTCGCTGTGGTTTTCACAGCAAGAAAATTTTCTCGCTCTGGTTTTCACACCTGATGATGATGATTGCTTCTCGTGTTGCAGTCGAAACGTCGTGAGAATTTTATCGTTTTATATTCGTGTTATTTCATTGTTTCCCTTCTACGTGGTGGCGACTTTACCGTAAGAACCAAGAAAAATGTACGTAACGTTGCATCGTTGAAGCCCGCCACGAGCCCGGCACGAGACAGCTGGTAAGGGTTGTCGCGTTAACGTAACGTGGCATGGGCGGATGACGGAGGGAGCGTACATTATGCGTGTGCCAACACCGTCACTACCACCGTCACCGCCAACGTCACCACCACCGTCATTGTCACCAACACCGCCACCATCACCACCACCGCCACCGTCACCACCACCACCTTCACCACCACCACCACCATCACCAACGTCACCACCACCGTCACCACCACCGCCACCGTCACCACCACCACCGTCACCACCACCGTCACCGCCACCGTCACCGCCACCGTCACCACCACTGTCACCACCACCACCACCGTTATCACCACTGTCACTACCACCGTCACCACCACTGCCACCACCACCGTTACCACCACCGCCACCACCATCGCCACTGTCACCACCACCACCGTCACCGCCACCACCACCACCATCACCACCACCGTCACCGCCACCGCCACCACCGTCACCACCACCGTCACTGTCACCACCACCGTCACCACCACCACCGTCACCACCACCACCGTCACCACCACCACCGTCACTGTCACCACCACCGTCCCCACCACCGTCACCGCCACCCCCACCACCACCGCCACTCACACTCGAACTGGTTGCCCGAGTTCTTGGCGTCCGTCATGCTCTTGTTGAGCTGCATGAGCTGCGGTGCGAAGTTGTTCAGCTTGGCGGCCTCACGCTGCCCCTTCACCATGAGCGGGAACACAAGCAGCCGCACCAGCAGCGTGCCTGCAGTACACAGCACGGTACACACGCACACGGTACTCACACACACGGTACACACACACGGTACACACACACGGTACACACACACACGGTACACACACACACGGTACACACACACACACACGGTACTCACACACACGGTACACACACACACACGGTACTCACACACACGGTACACACACACACACGGTACTCACACACACGGTACACACACACACACACGGTACACACACACACGGTACTCACACACACGGTACTCACACACACACACACGGTACACACACACACACACGGTACTCACACACACACACACGGTACACACACACACACACGGTACACACACACACACACGGCACACACACACACACGGTACACACACACACACGGTACACACACACACACAGTACACACACACACACGGTACACACACGCACGGTACACACACACGCACGGTACACACACACGCACGGTACACACACACACAAGGTACACACACACACACATACGGTACACACACACACGGTACACACACACACACACACGGTACACACACACACAATACACACACACACACAATACACACACACGCGGTACACACACACGGTATACACACACACACGCACACGGTACACACACACGCACACGGTACTCGCACACACACGCACGGTACACGCACACACACACACGGTACTCACACACACGGTACACACACACACGGTACACACACACACACGGTACACACACACGGTACACACACACACACACGGTACACACACACAGACGTGCAGCACACACACACGGTACTCACACACACACGGTACACACACACACGGTACACACACACACACGGTACTCACACACACACGGTACACACACACACGGTACACACACACACGGTACACACACACACGGTACACACACACACACGGTACACACACACACACGGTACACACACACACACACGGTACACACACACACGGTACTCACACACACACGGTACACACACACACACACGGTACTCACACACACACAGTACTCACACACACACGGTACACACACACACACGGTACACACACACACACGGTACACACACACACACGATACACACACACGGTACACACACACACACGGTACACACACACACACGATACACACACACGGTACTCACACACACACGGTACACACACACACACAATACACACACACGCACGGTACACACACATGGTACACACACACACACGGTACACACACACGATACACACACAGACACACGCAATACACACACACACACACGGTACACACGCACGATACACACACACACACAGACACACGCAGGGCAAGACCCACCAGTGACGATGGCGCCCCACCAGGGCAGGCCCAGGTCCAGGTGGAGGCTCTCCAGCAAGTTCTGCACCAACCCCACGGGCGTGGCCGCCCCCAGGCCCAGCTCGGCCATCGTGGCCTCGGGCAGGCCTGCGGCTCCCGCCGACAGGACCCCCTCCAGCGCCGCCTGGGCCCCCTCCACGCCTCCTCCTCCCGCCGCCTCCCCCAGCACCTCCATCGCAGAGTCTCCCCCGTGACCGCCGACCCCCAAGACCACGGCCATGTCGGCCGCCCCTCCGTCCGTCACGGGAGACGCCGCCGCCGCCGCTGACGCCGCCGCCGCTGACGACGCCGCTGCCGGCGACGTCGCTGACGTTGTGTCTGTTGTAGTAGTCGTGGTAGTAGTCGTGGTAGTCGTAGTAGTAGTAGTAGTCGCCATCTGCTGGGGGGGGAGGGGCAAAAAACGAGCGGCTGTTTTGCGGATGAGAGGAGGGGGGGGTGTGGCGGATAAAAAGGAGGGTGACGTGGCGGATAATAGGAGGTGTGGATAAGAGGAGGCGTGGCGGATAAGAGGAGAGTGATGTGGCGGATAAGAGGAATGGCAGATAAGAGGAGCTGTGGCGGATAAGAGGAGGCGTGAATAAGGGGTGTGGCGGACAAGAGGGCGTGTGGCGGATAAGAGGACGTGTGGCGGATAAGAGGACGTGTGGCGGATAAGAGGACGTGTGGCGGATAAGAGGACGCGTGGCGGATAAAATGGGTTGCAGATATACGAGGGGCGGCGGATATGAGGAGGTGTGGATAAGAGGCGTGGCGGATAAGATGAGAGGAGCGATGGACAAGAGGAGGTGTAGGGGATGAGAGGAGCTGTGGCGGATAACAGGAGGGGTGGCAGATAAGAGGAGCCGCGGCGGATAAGAGGAGGTGCGGATAAGGGGTGCGGCAATAACAGTCGCGGCATATAACAGTGACGGCGGATGAGAGGACGCGTGGCGGATAAGATGGGTGGCAGATACGAGGGGCGGCGGATAAGAGGAGGAGCTGCGGATAAGAGGGCTGGGGGGGGTGGGGGGCTGGGGGGCACCTGCGCGGTGGGGGTGGAGCCGCCGTATCGGACGGCGCAGGTGACGGGTCGGCCGTGGGGCCTCCACGGGGCCTGGGCCCCCCTCCACGGGGCCTGGGCCCCCCTCCACAGGGCCTGGGCCCCCCTCCACGGCCCCCACGGCCCACGCTGGCCGGAGCGGCCCGGTAACGCCGGCACACATCGGCACACCTGCAGGACACGCCACGGCAGGGGTCAGGGGTCGCGGATAGGTCGGTAGGAGGGCTGTGGTGGGGGTTGTGGTGGGGGTTGTTGTGGTGGGGGTTGTGGTAGGGGTTGTGGTAGGGGTTGTTGTAGGGGTTGTGGTAGATGGTGTGGTAGGGGTTGTGGTAGGGGTTGTGGTGGGTGTTGTGGTAGGTGTTGTGGTAGATGGTGTGGTAGGGGTTGTGGTGGGGGTTGTGGTAGGTGTTGTGGTGGATGTTGTGGTGGGTGTTGTGGTAGGTGTTGTGGTGGGTGTTGTGGTGGGTGTTGTGTTAGGGGTTGTGGTGGGTGTTGTGGTAGGTGTTGTGGTAGATGGTGTGGTAGGGGTTGTGGTGGGGGTTGTGGTAGGTGTTGTGGTGGGTGTTGTGGTGGGTGTTGTGGTAGGTGTTGTGGTGGGTGTTGTGGTGGGTGTTGTGTTAGGGGTTGTGGTGGGTGTTGTGGTAGGTGTTGTGGTAGATGGTGTGGTAGGGGTTGTGGTGGGGGTTGTGGTAGGTGTTGTGGTGGGTGTTGTGGTGGGTGTTGTGGTAGGTGTTGTGGTGGGTGTTGTGGTGGGTGTTGTGTTAGGGGTTGTGGTGGGTGTTGTGGTAGGTGTTGTGGTGGGGGTTGTTGTGGGGGTTGTGGTAGGTGTTGTGGTAGGTGTTGTGGTAGGGGTTTTGGTGGGGGTTGTGGTGGGGGTTGTGGTAGGGGTTGCAGTGGGTGTTGTGTTAGGGGTTGTGGTGGATGTTGTGGTAGGTGTTGTGGTAGGTGTTGTGGTAGGGGCTGTGGTGGGGGTTGTGGTAGGGGTTGTGGTAGGTGTTGTGGTAGATGTTGTGGTAGGGGCTATGGTGGGGGTTGTGGTAGGGGTTGTGGTAGGTGTTGTGGTAGGTGTTGTGGTAGGGGCTGTGGTGGGGGTTGTGGTAGGGGTTGTGGTAGAATTGTGGTAGGTGTTGTAGGTGTTGTGGTAGGGTTGTATTAAGGTAATGGCTAGCGGTTAGTGATCAGGGTGTTGTTAGCGTTGTGTTAGGGTGTTGGCTAGGGGTTAAGGGTTAGGGTTGTGTTAGGGCTAGGGTAATGGCTAGGGGTTAGAGTTAGGGGTTGGGGTTAGTGCAGGGGTTAGTGGTGGTGGTACAGGGTTAGTGATGGTGGTGGTGAAGGGTTAGTGTGGGGTTAGTGGTGGTGGTGCAGGGTTAGTGTGGGGTTAGTGGTGGTGGTGGTGCAGGGTTAGTGGTGGTGGTGCAGGGTTAGTGTGGGGTTAGTGGTGGTGGTGCAGGGTTAGTGGTGGTGGTGCAGGGTTAGTGTAGAGTTAGTGGTGGTGCAGGGTTAGTGTGGGGTTAGTGGTGGTGGTGCAGGGTTAGTGTAGAGTTAGTGGTGGTGCAGGGTTAGTGTGGGGTTAGTGGTGGTGGTGGTGCAGGGTTAGTGGTGGTGCAGGGTTAGTGGTGGTGGTGCAGGGTTAGTGGTGGTGCAGGGTTAGTGGTGGTGGTGCAGGGTTAGTGGTGGTGGTGGTGCAGGGTTAGTGGTGGTGCAGGGTTAGTGGTGGTGGTGCAGGGTTAGTGGTGGTGGTGGTGCAGGGTTAGTGGTGGTGGTGCAGGGTTAGTGGTGGTGCAGGGTTAGTGGTGGTGCAGGGTTAGTGTGGGGTTAGTGGTGGTGGTGCAGGGTTAGTGGTGGTGGTGCAGGGTTAGTGGTGGTGGTGCAGGGTTAATGGTGGTGGTGCAGGGTTAGTGATGGTGGTGAAGGGTTAGTGTTGGGTTAGTGGTGGTGGTGGTGCAGGGTTAGTGGTGGTGGTGCAGGGTTAGTGTGGGGTTAGTGGTGGTGGTGCAGGGTTAGTGGTGGTGGTGCAGGGTTAGTGGTGGTGCAGGGTTAGTGGTGGTGCAGGGTTAGTGGTGGTGCAGGGTTAGTGTGGGGTTAGTCGTGGTGGTGGTGGTGTCGGCGTGGTGGTGGTGACAGCGTGGTGGTGGCGGTGGTGACATCGTGGTGGTGGTGGTGACATCGTGGTGGTGGTGACATCGTGGTGGTGGTGGTGGTGACATCGTGGTGGTGGCGGTAGCAGCAGCGTGGTGGTGGTGGCAGCGTGGTGGTGGTAGCGTGGTGGTGGTGACATCGTGGTGGTGGTGACATCGTGGTGGTGGTGACATCGTGGTGGTGGTGACATCGTGGTGGTGGTGGTGACATCGTGGTGGTGGTGGTGACATCGTGGTGGTGGTGGTGGTGACATCGTGGTGGTGGTGGTGACATCGTGGTGGTGGTGGTGGCAGCGTGGTGGTGGTGGTAACATCGTGGTGGTGGCGGTAGCAGCAGCGTGGTGGTGGTGGCAGCGTGGTGGTGGTAGCGTGGTGGTGGTGACATCGTGGTGGTGGTGACATCGTGGTGGTGGTGACATCGTGGTGGTGGTGACATCGTGGTGGTGGTGGTGACATCGTGGTGGTGGTGGTGACATCGTGGTGGTGGTGGTGGTGACATCGTGGTGGTGGTGGCATCGTTGTGGTGGTGGTGGCAGCGTGGTGGTGGTGGTAACATCGTGGTGGTGGTAGCGTGGTGGTGGTGACATCGTGGTGGTGGTGGTGGTGACATCGTGGTGGTGGTGGTGGTGGCAGCGTGGTGGTAGCGTGGTGGTGGTGACATCGTGGTGGTGGTGACATCGTGGTGGTGGTGGTGGTGACATCGTGGTGGTGGTGGTGGTGTCGGCGTGAGTTCTCACGTGGAGGAGGAGGTGGCGCTGCTGCTGCTGCTGCGGCGAGGCGGCCATCGCCACGAGGAGTCGCAGGCCCCGGGGCGGAAGCCGCGCGCCCGTGCCCAAGGAGGCCGCCATGACGCTCGAAATCTCACGCAGCGGGGAGGGGGGAGGTCACGCGGCGACGTCAGCACGCACGCCGGGTGACGTCAACACGTCATCGAAGGGATTATGGGGTGACGTCAGTACGCACCTTTTGGATGACGTCAACGCGTCAGAGGGTATTACGAAGTGACGTCGGCACGCACGCCGGACGTCGAAACGTGCTGGGCGTACGGGATGACGTAGATATATGCGTTTGACGTCACCACGTCCGTTGAGGATGACGTCTGCAGTGAGAGTGGGTGGAGTTTGTGTGATCTCCCCCTGTTCTACAGAGTGAGTGAGTGGAGTTTGTGTGATCTCCCCCTGTTCTACAGTGAGTGAGTGGAGTTTGTGTGATCTCACCCTGTTCTACAGAGTGAGTGGAGTTTGTGTGATCTCCCCCTGTTCTACAGAGTGAGTGGAGTTTGTGTGATCTCCCCCTGTTCTACAGAGTGAGTGGAGTTTGTGTGATCTCTCCCTGTTCTACAGAGTGAGTGGAGTTTGTGTGCTCTCCCCCTGTTCTATAGCGTGAGTGGAGTTTGTGTAATCTCTTCCCCTGTTCTACAGAGTGAGTGAGTGGAGTTTGTGTGATCTCCCCCTGTTCTACAGAGTGAGTGGAGTTTGTGTGATCTCCCCCTGTTCTACAGAGTGAGTGGAGTTTGTGTAATCTCTTCCCCTGTTCTACAGAGTGAGTGAGTGGAGTTTGTGTGATCTCCCCCTGTTCTACAGAGTGAGTGGAGTTTGTGTGATCTCCCCCTGTTCTACAGAGTGAGTGGAGTTTGTGTAATCTCTTCCCCTGTTCTACAGAGTGAGTGAGTGGAGTTTGTGTGATCTCCCCCTGTTCTACAGAGTGAGTGAGTGGAGTTTGTGTGATCTCCCCCTGTTCTACAGAGTGAGTGGAGTTTGTGTGATCTCCCCCTGTTCTACAGAGTGAGTGAGTGAGTGGAATTTGTGTGATCTCCCCCTGTTCTACAGAGTGAGTGAGTGGAGTTTGTGTGATCTACCTCTGTTCTACATAGTGAGTAAGTGGAGTTTGTGTGATCTCCCCCTGTTCTACAGAGTGAGTGAGTAGAGTTTGTGTGATCTCCCCCTGTTCTACAGAGTGAGTGAGTGGAGTTTGTGTGATCTCCCCCTGTTCTACAGAGTGAGTGAGAGTGGAGTTTGTGTGATCTCCCCCTGTTCTACAGAGTGAGTGAGTGGAGTTTGTGTAATCTCTCCCCCTGTTCTACAGAGTGAGTGAGTGGTATTTGTATGATCTCCCCCTGTTCTACTGTTGCCAGCGAATTAAAATCTCACACTTGCTACGAGTGAATTCAAATCTCACACTTGGTGCCAGTGAATTCAAATCTCACACTTGCCGACAGTGAATTCAAATCTCACACTTGCCGACAGTGAATTCAAATCTCGCGCTTGCTGACTGTAAATTCAAATATCACACTTTCCGACAGTGAACTCAAATCTCACACTTGCTGACTGTAAATTCAAATCTCACACTTGCTAGCAGTGAATTCAAATCTCACAGCTGGTGTTCTATTTGACTTGAGTCTACTTGCAGCAGGCACATGTTATTTGACCGTGCAAGGGGTCCCTGGCCTGTGCCCACCTCCAAACAACCAACAACCACCACCACCATTCACCTCTAAGTGGCAGGTGACGTGACCACGGCACGTGTGCCAGGCTAGGTGCACTTCCACCCTCTAGCAAAAGACAAGACAAAGACCCCCCCCCCCCCCCATAACCTTGAACAGACTGTAGGGACAAGTGCTGTTAGCGAGCACCTATGAAGGACGGAACAGTACACCAAGAAGTGGATGGCCAGCACCACCCCCGGCCGCCTTTGTCTCCCCAGTGGCGACATTTACACGTGGCACCAGGATACTCATTTGTGTCTGAGTCGATCTACGGGAGGCCCACCAGCCCTCCCACACACACAAGACACGCTCACACGCATGCTGGTGTTCATTGGGCGAAGTGTGTGGGTAGAATGGACACAGTGTAGCAAACTGCTGTGGCCGTGATGTGCACAGCGCGAAGGGAGTGACAGACGCACGCATAGCATTCAAGTTTTACTGTGTAGGAACCTCCTGGTTACACCAGCAGCCCACATGGGATTATTGTGTCCGTCCGTCCGTCGTGCATCCAAAAATGGGAGGGGAGAGGCTGGGTGGGGAGGGTGGGGCTGGGTGTGGAGGGGCTGGTCACCCCGTGGTGCCCTTATAAAACTCAACGTTTAACCTACTCACGCCGGCTTGTGCCCGCCCTCGCAGTCGGGCATGATTGCGGAATACACCACGTGGTGCCGCCGTTGACCCTGGCCATTGACCGAGCAACCCGACGTTCCTACTAGCTCTCTTCCGCAGGAGAATGTTTTTTTTTTACTACACGCTTTCATTTAACTCACTCTGTCTGTTGTTGTAGTATCCTCGAATCTTGTAACTCAATCTTAACCCACTTCCCAATGTCGTATCGACTGAAAACTTGGTATATGTATGTCATACTGATGACAATACTCTATTCTATCATTAAAAATATAAATATTTTTTACAGCAATCTTTTTTGATATGTTATGTTTCGGCTTGGGTGTAATTGTCCACGCTCAACTGACGTTGGCTGTAATTGGCCCACGGTCCCCTACGTCATGGCAAGCTTCGGGGCCACTTCCTGGACTCGTGGAGTTCTGCCATTACTCGTACGGTACGTTTCATTAAAGCGTGTTGTTTAAAAAAAAGTATTTTTAAATATTACTTATTGCTGCTATTAATGCCCACGCTGCTGCTGCTGCTGCTGATGATAATTATGATATCAGCCAGTTTAACACGTAGGCTATCGCGACCAGTATTTATCTCCATATATAAAAGGCAAAGCTGTGATTGTGTGTGTCTGTTCAAAATGGTTAGCGTACTTGCCGACATGCAACAAACTTGAAATTTGCCATGTGGGTACTTTTTAGACTGTACAACATGCAGAAATTATAAAAATACATTTTAGTTTTTTTGGAGGGGGGTGGGGGGATGTTCAATAATCCGTAGATTTGTGCACGTCAAGTGAGCTGTGACGTCAAATCTGTCACGTGACCCGCGCACGTGGAAGCGTAACGCATTGTAGTGTAGCGGTTAGCGCGCTGTGTATGTGTCTGTGTGTGTCTGTCTGTGTGTGTGTCTGTCTGTGTGTGTGTGTCTGTGTGCGTGTGTGTCTGTGTGTGTCTGTGTGCGTATGTATGTGTGTGTCTGTGTGTGTCTGTGTGTGTCTGTGTGTGTCTGTGTGTGTCTGTGTGTGCAGAAGCGTAACGCATTGTAGTGTAGCGGTTAGCGCTACGCCGCGCTACGAACCCGACGACCCGAGTTCGAATCCCGCTCACGGCCAACACCGGTGACGATTATTTCAACCGCTCCTGGGCCTCCCCTAGGTCGACTCAGCCTCAAACGAGTAACTGGTGTGGTGTGTGAACATCGCCACTGGGGAGACAAAGGCGGCCGGGCGTGGTGAATCCAAGTCCCGGGCGAAGCCGCGTAGTCAAGCTAATCTATTATAATTACGGCCTTGTAACAGACACACACCATCAGAGAACAGACACACACACACAGACACACACACACAGACACAGACACACACACAGACACACACACAGACACACACACGATACGAGCTGGAGAGAGAGGAGATGTCACTTTGATTTTAATGCGACGAGAGTGGTGCTTGGAGAGACACAGGTTAGAGAGACAGGGACACGGGGATTAGATCGTTAACACATCATCAGAGAACACACGCACAGACACACACACAGACACACACACACAGACACACACTCACAGACACACACAGACACACACTCTTGTCTTGTAGTAAACAGATCATGCCTGGTTATGAAGGTCACGGTGAGGAGACGCAGGCCTCAGAGGCAGGCCGATTGCTCGGGGGACACTGGACCCTAACTAGGTCTCTGTGTGGTGAGTCTATGGGTCTCTGTGTGGTGAGTCTATGGGTCTCTGTGTGGTGAGTCTATGGGTCTCTGTGTGGTGAGTCTATGGGTCTCTGTGTGGTGAGTCTATGGGTCTCTGTGTGGTGAGTCTATGGGTCTCTGTGTGGTGAGTCTATGGGTCTCTGTGTGGTGAGTCTATGGGTCTCTGTGTGGTGAGTCTATGGGTCTCTGTGTGGTGAGTCTATGGGTCTCTGTGTGGTGAGTCTATGGGTCTCTGTGTGGTGAGTCTATGGGTCCTGTTTGGTGAGTCTGTGGGTCTCTGTGTGGTGAGTCTATGGGTCTCTGTGTGGTGAGTCTATGGGTCTCTGTGTGGTGAGTCTATGGGTCTCTGTGTGGTGAGTCTATGGGTCTCTGTTTGGTGAGTCTGTGGGTCTCTGTGTGAGTCTGTGGGTCTCTGTGTGATGAGTCTATGGGTCTCTGTGTGGTGAGTCTATGGGTCTCTGTGTGGTGAGTCTATGGGTCTCTGTGTGGTGAGTCTATGGGTCTCTGTGTGGTGAGTCTATGGGTCTCTGTGTGGTGAGTCTATGGGTCTCTGTGTGGTGAGTCTATGGGTCTCTGTGTGGTGAGTCTATGGGTCTCTGTTTGGTGAGTCTGTGGGTCTCTGTGTGAGTCTGTGGGTCTCTGTGTGATGAGTCTATGGGTCTCTGTGTGGTGAGTCTATGGGTCTCTGTGTGGTGAGTCTATGGATCTCTGTGTGATGAGACTGTGGGTCTCTGTGTGGTGAGTCTATGGGTCTCTGTGTGGCGAGTCTATGGGTCTCTGTGTGGTGAGTCTATGGGTCTCTGTGTGATGAGTCTATGGGTCTCTGTGTGGTGAGTCTATGGGTCTCTGTGTGGTGAGTCTATGGGTCTCTGTGTGGTGAGTCTGTGGGTCTCTGTGTGAGTCTATGGGTCTCTTTGTAAGTCTATGGGTCTCTGTGTGGTGAGTCTATGGGTCTCTGTGCGAGTCTATGGGTCTCTGTGTGGTGAGTCTATGGTTCTCTGTGTAAGTCTATTGTTCTCTGTGTAAGTCTATGGGTCTCTTTGTAAGTCTATGGGTCTCGGTGCGAGTCTATGGGTCTCCTTGTAAGTCTATGGGTCTCTGTGCGAGTCTATGGGTCTCTGTGTGA